AAACTAGCAGTCCAGGTTTCTATAGTCAAAGGTATAGATCTAGAATTATTTGATTTCATTATAAAAACTAGTAATTTGTGGATTTCTATAAAAATTTTATCCATTTTATCTATTACAAATTAAATAATTTTGTTTTTTATTTAAGAATAAAATAAGAAAAAATTAACTTATATTATATATTATTATTTATTATTATTCTTTATATTATATATTTAAAACACTTTTAACCTTATAACTTTAACTTTTTCTCTATTAATTAATCATTTTATTAATTTAAATTTAATAAATTTTTTAAATTTATATATAATTATTATAAATTATTATATTTCTTTATTTACCATCCTCCATGAAATTTTCCTGCTCTCTCAATGGCACTGGCAGATCTTTGTTCTGTACCGTCTTCTCCAGGGTATAGTTGTCGTCCAAGTTGTCCTCGGTTTCGTCGGGGTACTCAGCTTCATCCATGTCCTTGATGTTGTCTTCTATTTCATCCGTGTTCTGCGTAAATGTTTCCTCAACGTTTTCAAATTCCTCCATGCACTGGCTTTCCTCTGGTACGTTGACATCGTCAGCTTCCTCTTGGGTGTCCTCGCTGTCATCCTCGGACTCATCCATGCGCTGAGTGAACATTTCATCAACATTTTCAGCCCTCTTCGTGTACTGGGACTCTTCTGGTTCGTTGGCATCGTCAGCTTCTTCTTGGGTGTTCTCGAATTCCATGTCATCTTTCCGAGTATCCATTCGTCGGCGTCGATTTAGTGGGAATTCTTCATTTTCTTTGTGAAGAGAGGGTTGTCGTTTTCTGTTGTAACGCCATTTTCTCGTTTTAAGGCTTTTTAGAGCTTTCTCCAAAGCTTCATAAAATTCGACGTTGTTGGGGTTGGGGAAATGTTTGTTGACATTTATGGCGTCTGAAAAAATTTATGAAATATACCCTAGTTATATTATCATATTCAATGTAGAATATAAACACTAATGGACGATATTTTTTACCTTGACATGCTTGAGCGAAACGACTGTCTCTCAATTTACATCCCCCTGGTCCACTTCTTCCATTTAAAGTGAGATATGGTGAAACCTCCTCATCTTCGGGAAATACGCTGCGAAAATATTCTGCAGCGCAGTCAACTGGATTGGCACGTCCAAGATAAACGAAGTATCCCACCTGTAACAAAATTTTTGTAGTAAATCTGATTTACTGTAAATATGTATTAAAAAAATTATCATATCTCTTTTACTAAATTATTATAAATTTCTTCGTTAACTTCTTCAAAGGCCAAGAAATCATCCACGGTTCTAAACAAAATCCCTTGTGGCTTCACTGGTCTGCTTACTACAGATTTTTGCATTAGCTGTTTAATGGCTTTCGCATTTTTACTGTAAAAAATGAAATTATAAAATTAAAAATTAATTTATAAGTTGCTTGCTGTTCTTTAATAAAATCATTAATACTTACTCTATTTTATCTTCAATAGAAATTTGTCGCTCTTCCATACGACGTAGTTGTGCCATGATCATTCTGAAATTAAATTTATATCCTTCGTGCACACAGATGACTATCTTTGTTGTAATCATTTATTAAACTTACTTTACAGATCGCGTTATATCACAAGATGTTTTCTCGTCGTTTGTCCACTCTTCATGGTTTTGTTTGGTTGGTGATAAGCGATTGCGTTGTACAGATGATGGTGATTGTGATAACGTTTGTTTATGTTGTAGTGGTTTTGATATTGACGGAATGTTTCGTGCGAATGATTTTGTGGTTGGTGAAGGAGAGCGTGATGTTTGTTTGTGTAATGGTAGTGATTTTGATACTGGAAGATTTTGTGTGAATGATTTAGCAATATTTAAATTTTTCTGTTGTAAACATTCGTATTCATTGCGTGCAGCTCTTTCTAACTTTTCCAAACGACGACGATGAACTGCTGATAATAAATGATAAGGTTTGCGACTACGTCTTTTTGCCAAACGCAACATATCTGTTCCGTAGCAGTGTGTACGATTTACTGTCCACACTGTAGTTTTAACAATGTCTTTATTTGGTACGAAGTATACACTGAGCTGCACGCCTTGGTGTCTTACGGTTAATACCGCACGCACTGGTTTTACTATCGCTACCTGCACGCCTTGGTGTCTTACGGTTAATACCGCACGCACTGGTTTTACTATTGCTACCGACCTCGCCTGGGGACTTGGTAGTCCTGAGTCGATAGCCCACCGATCTCGCCTGGGAACGGTCGTCCTGAATCGGTGGTTCGAAGTCCAGACCACGCCTGGGGGATTGCGATACCCTGAGTCTGGTATCGCGAGCACGTTAGACACTTCGACACTATTCTGGGATCGTATACCCTGATGGTCGTCTTATAAACTGTCCGAGAACTGTACGAGTTGCCCCGAAGACTTCTGGATAGCGAATGAAAACTGGGGGGATCGAGCTCCCTTTATATCCCTCGTTTCCGAATTCTCATTGGCTGTCGACGGATCAAACGATCTGCCGATCGCGCGCGACGCAAGCGTTGCGCCGCCGC